CCACATAAGCATCTGTAGCCAACATCAGTAATAAACACATGTTTATGTTGCAACAGCTTTTTTTTTTTCAATTAATTCCTGTTACGTAGCCTCCATCAGAAATCACTCATTGTCATCATCTTCTCCAGAGAGCTCCCACACAAAGTAAGGGCCGAATGCCATCCTCGTCTCCAGTCTGGTAACTATTGGCAAATGACTGTTAGTAATCACGGTCAGATCTGGCTGCTGGACATGTGGTACCTGTTTACATTTTAATATTGCCTTTTAGCTTAGAAGAAATAATCTATTCCCGTCAAGCTAAAACATCACTTTTTTTCACCATATATTTTTAGCGTATTGTACTTACAGTCTCAGAGTTTCTAAACCTAAGAAGGAGGTACTAGTAACATTTTTTTCTGAAGCAATTTAAAATTTCCCGTTTGTAAGCCGTCTCTCTCGGTGCCAGTCAGGTGACTAATGCGAGGCCGGCAGAGTAGTTTCACACATGGCACAGTGATTTGTAGGGATCCTAGCAACAACCGCGGTTGGTAAAAGGTGTCCATTATATTCAGTGACCTAATGTTTATCGCGCTCGGCAAGCGACGCTCTCGGCTACTTCGTTTAGGCAGTTTATGATGCTGAGCTACTGAAGCACACAGCGGGCCGTATTCCCAGCGCAGCGGCGCTGCCGCTTGTGTTGTAAAGGCCATTTCACTGCACAGGCTGCTGTGCGTGTGTGAAACGCTCTCAATAAAAAAAACCCAAAGCCCAGAAACATGCCTATTTCTTCTTCAGACAGACACAATTGCTCCTGCTTAAGTTCACACACGGTGATAATAGTCAGCGGAAGGAGCTCTGCAAATCCCCTGCAAAGACCATGGTTAGGCACTATTTGAGCTGTGACTGTAATACGTAAAACGAGAAAATGGGGAAAAACTGTGTCTTTAGGTCACAGGCACTACATCGAGGAGGCACAGAAAACTGCCGGGGCTCTGCAGGCAAGGCAGCGTGGCTCTGCTACAGGAAGCAAACCCAAATCTACATGAGAACCAAGGTTACTCCTAAGGGAGGATGATCCCTCTCAGATACATAGGACCTTCAGTTGCGTGAATTTCAGTGCTACAATTTGTACTCAGAAGCTGATAAAGTCAGAGGAGATGTCAAAGGAGAGATGTAAGCATCCCATGACAAAGCCTGGCTGAGTTAGAAGGCTGCCATATTTTGAGCAGCATGGACCCATAGTGTTTGGGTGCCAGAAACTTTCAGATGCCATGTCTCAAAGGCATCCTCATGACTGAAGGGAAAGAACTGAGACTGCTGTTTCTTACAGTTGCTTCTCATCATCTGTTAGTGGCATCTCAAGGCTTCAGGCAGCTAGTCCCTAATCAAGCCCTGCTTCTCAACCAGATATTTATAAATTCAGAATACTGCACTGCAGCAAGTGATGCTGGCATAAATTCCCATCTGTCACCCCCTAATCAGCTCCCAGCACAGTGATCAATCTCTTTCAAATTCAGATGATCTTAACTACTTAGTATCTAAAGAAAACTCTGCAAGAAACAGGCAGTTTACTGTCCAGGACAATTTAGGGGCACTGACCTATCCTGCAGTAATAGCTCTATATACGTTACAGGAGAGACAGGTATTTTTAGATCTCCATCATCTCTGCCATAGTCCACATCGCTGACTATAATATTAGTGCAAGAATTAAGGTAAACAAGTGTAAAACATGGTCACAAATGCGCTTTCATCACCTTTCACCCACAGTAGGTAAGTTTTGCCCGCAGGCGAGCTTGCGGGGCACTGAGCAGGCACCCAGGAGTCACCGAGACACTAGCACAAGGACACATGTTCGCACGGAGCAGTGTTTCCATCCATTTCCCATTTTATTGAGCTTTAGATAGCGTTTAAGGACACACCAAGGACCAGCTTAACACTGGCTAGGAAATAGGTGAAGGACTGAGACTCATCAGTAGCTCATCTCCACTTTCCCTATACAACACAGCATGCAGCAGGACAAATACTCCCAAACCCTGTGCTAAGATGCTGTCATACTGGCAACTTTCTGCTGCACCCCAGTATATATCTGTTTTCACAAAGTAAATGATACTACTATATTTCACATCAGCCAGCCAGAAGAAGCCCTAATGTGATCCCAGGGAAAGCATTTCCAATACAAGATACAGTAACTCTTGCAGAAAAATTGGATAGAGCTTGCAAGTACTTTGTCAGATCAATTTTCTAATCCAGCTCACCAAGCAAAGCTTGCTGGTGTTAAGACAAATAACTTGCATTTCAGTACGTGCTGTTACTGCCGTTGCTGGGAACCCTGAGAAAGGCGGGGGAGAGGGTACAGAGGAAAGGACTGCTCGTAAATCTGCTCCTGTAGGAAAGTGGGAGTGGGGTTAGAACCCAACAGCAGGACATCCACGATGGCAGAAGGGATGGGGAGCAGGGCTACTGTGCCTGGACATGGCGTGGCCTCAGCATCCCTGTGGGAGCTCCTCTGACAGTCAAGCCAGAGTTCCCAGCAGGGACCAACGTCCTCAAGCATTCCCTTTGTTGCACGCTGCTGCCGCTGGAGTGAGTCAAATCTGGAGGATTTAAAGAGAAGATGAACCCCATGGGTCACATCCAGTATCTGTGAAGCTGAGATACTCAGCCTGGCTGGCCAAACCCAACAGTAGCTGCAGAGTTGTGGTAAAACACTCCAGCTCGAGGATTTCCTTGGCAGTACATCACTCACGGCATCTCTAGGGCATGTCAGCAGGCACAACAGAGGTGTTTTGTAAGCAAGTAAGTGAAAAATGACACAGCAGTTCTGGCTATATCACCCCATGTCTGTTCTGAGCTGAAATCAATGCCGTTGCATTCGTGTTAACGGAGGGCAGAATTAGGAAAATTCCCCTGAAGGTGATTTGAGACAATATTGTTGCAAAGAGCATGTTTTGTTTTTTGTTGTTTTTGTTTTGTTTTGGGTTTTTTGTTTGTTTGTTTTGTTTTTTTTTTTGTTTGTTTGTTTGTTTTGTTTTGGTTTGTTGTTTTTTTATAATTTAGGGAAGAAATCAGTTGTTTGGATTAGTTTTGTTCCAAGATAGAAAATTAATATATTCATTTAATACAAAACCGGGTGACACTTATGAGGGCTATTTACACCAGATCATTCACTCTGCTGCAGTTCATTTCCCAGGTGGCAGAAATCTGCTCCCAGACCCCAGGCTTTGGAGGCATTTATTGGAGGAGGAAGTTTTCTCCAGTGCCAGGTAAAACAGTTAAAAAAAATGAGTGTTTTCAGTTGTAGGACATATATTCTAGGTCTTCATTACCTTAACGTCAGCAACTTCCTTTCTCTCTGATTTAAAGGAATCCTTACAATTATTGTTGATTTGTTTTGGGAAATCCATCAAAGCTGCCAGAAATGTTTGAAGCACTGAACGCACAGAAGAGGTGATTTATAGAACACTTATGAAAATGTCAAATAACAAATTTTTGGCAGTCGCTTGTACAGTAAACCAGATCTCTGATTTTTAAGCACTACTTCAGGTATTCCAGCCAAGTCATATAAACTTCTGATGGGAACAAGCTCGCCTGTCTCATTCCAGCCATACCGCTAGTAGGAATAATAGGATTTTTATTTTTTTTCCAATTCAAGACTACACTAAACATGAGCAAGCACTTAAACTTCAGCTACACCTTAGTGCCCCAGGAAAGCTCTCAAGGGCTGTAAGGGCTGTTTGTGTCCATGGCGGAGGCTCTTCCTGGCCAGGGGCCATAGGACTGAACCCTTCCTATAGCACCAGTTCAAGCAGCCCCTAAAGCACATCTTTAAGTTGAATCACAGCTTTAGAACGCTGAAGCAAGCCAGACAGTGAAATGGCAGAGACAAGAGACTTCAGCACTTCACCACGGTATTATTTAAGCATCATACATCAATACCTCTAGGTGTGGTTTAGGTGATGGGTCAGTATTGTGGCCAGAGAGTTGCAAGTACGTTCTTTTTCAGGAAACTCCGGCATGTTTACACTTGGGCTGAATCAAGAACATTCTTCACATCTGATGTGACCAGCAGGATTTCCTTAAAGGCTCAGCTGTATCACTTCAGAGGAAAAATGCCTTCCAGTTGAAGGACTTCTAAAGAGCAGCTCTGGATAAGCAAAGCAGGTCTTTGTGGAGCAGATTGTCTCAGTGGTGGGAAGGGAAATGCTTCCCCAGAGCCCATCTGTGGGAGCACAGGTCAGACAGCCAAGACTGAATTACAAGGGATTCATCCTGGGCAGAGCTGGAAACTTTTGAGTGCTGCAAAGCACATCCAGCTCTCCAGAGGGGCTGAGGATACATGTTTCCCTGGAAGTCTTTTTCTCGATTAGGATCCTGCTTAGTCAAGAGAGAATTACCTAATCCTGTTGCTTTTGATCTCAGCTCTTTTTAGATGGAGTTCAAAACTAAACCAGGCAGGCACCATGAGCTGGGATGAGGAAGAAAACGCATCTCTCCAAAGCTCGCCCCACCGTTCTTCCTTTGTCACTTTAAAAAAAAGTGAAAAAGGCAAGGGGGGAAATACAAGAGTATGTGTGTGTGTGATACTACTTTTTATCCTGCTGCTCCATCCTGCTGCCCCCACTGCCTCCTGTGCACGGGCAGGGGTCTCAGCACTCCCTGCTCGGGACGCTGCTGCCATGGCCACAGCAGGAGCGGGGCTGACCAGAGACAGCAACAGAGCCAGGGCCATAACTCTACATCTGCTCTGAGGAGATGGCAAAGGGCTGCTGGACACCACCTAACCCTGTGTCTGAAGCAAAGATCCCGACTTTCTCTCTGTCCCTCATCCTGATCTCCCAGGACAGTGAGGGTCAGCGTGTATCCACAGCTGGGAGCAGAGCCCCATGCTCCTCTCATAGTGTTCTCCTTTTGGTTTCTTGAACTTTAATAAAGGCGGTCATATTGCCAAGTGCTTGAACAGAGCTACTGCTCCAAGCAAGTGCTCAGAAAAGCTAGTGTCACATCTAATAGCCTAACTCTGTGTTTCTGTCTCCACAGCAAACATCTTGACAGTCATCATCCTTTCCCAGCTTGTGGCTCGCAGGCAGAAGTCCTCCTATAACTATCTTCTAGCTCTAGCTGCTGCTGACATCCTGGTTCTCTTCTTCATCGTCTTTGTTGACTTCCTCATGGAAGACTTCATCTTAAACAAACAGATGCCTCAGGTACTGGACAAAATAATTGAGGTCTTGGAATTTTCTTCCATCCACACCTCCATTTGGATTACGGTTCCACTAACGATCGATAGGTATATAGCTGTGTGCCATCCGCTGAAGTATCACACAGTCTCCTACCCTGCTCGTACTCGAAAAGTCATTGTGAGTGTCTATATCACCTGCTTTTTGACCAGCATCCCCTACTACTGGTGGCCCAACATTTGGATCGAAGACTACATAAGCACATCAATACATCACGTCCTCATCTGGGTCCACTGCTTTACCGTTTACTTAGTGCCCTGCTCCATCTTCTTCATCCTGAATTCCATCATCGTGTACAAGCTGCGGCGAAAGAGCAATTTCCGGCTGCGAGGGTACTCCACAGGGAAAACAACAGCCATTTTGTTTACTATAACTTCTATTTTTGCCATACTTTGGGCACCAAGAATAATCATGATATTGTATCACCTCTACGTATCGCCTATAAACAACAGCTGGGTGGTACATATTGCATCGGACATTGCCAATATGCTAGCACTGCTGAACACTGCAATTAATTTCTTCCTCTACTGTTTTATTAGCAAAAGATTTCGCACAATGGCAGCTGCCATGCTGAAAGCCTTCTTTAAGTGTCAGAAGCAACCTGTGCAATTCTATACAAACCATAACTTTTCCATAACGAGTAGCCCTTGGATTTCTCCTGCCAACTCTCACTGCATCAAAATGCTTGTTTACCAGTATGATAAGAACGGAAAGCCTATAAAAATATCACCATGAAAAGGGCAATAGTTGAAATTTCTGGGTGCAAATTCTTTTCATGCAGTTACATCTTCAGGATGTAACTTGCTGAAATGGCTGTTTTGAAGAGTGGTCATTTGACTTCATTTCCCTGGGAGACCGAGGGCAGATCAGACTGTTAAGGGGGACCAGGAGCAAAAGTGAGAAGGCAAATGCCTCCATCTCTTACATAGCATTTTGAATATGCTTCAGAGTTCAAAGTCTTAGTGTTCAGTCGCACTCAAACGTTTTGCATCCCAGCACCAGTGCAGTCCAAAGTCATCGGCAGGGGGGAGCCACAACAGCATTTAATTACAACCTTTTAAAACACAACAACGAAACCTTACTTGACCATGCAGTTCGCTATCGACAGAGCAAACGGATGCTTTTACGTATTGTGGAAGGTGCCGTTCCTGGTCTCTGCACTTGCCAAAAATGATGTGTTGTTTCTGACCTGAAATGCCACCACGCACAGTCTTGCTGTTGGGAGGCAGCCTGCAAGACACAAACTGTGACAAGCCCTTTTGGCTCATCTGAACAAGGCTTGAGGACCAATATAGTACCTGTTGCAGCCTTGGCATGGAAAGCAATCCTGCAAGCTGCCAATATTTGTATGTTTCAAGTTGTTATTTAAGAACGCGACCAAGACAGGGGAGCTCAAGGGAGGGAGGGAGGTTTCTAGAGCCAAGAACAAAAGCAGTATCTTTTCCCAGCTCAGTTATGGTGTCTAAAGACTTCCAAGTGTGAGGCCAAGTCCTGCCTGATGCAGAGCTCCCACTGAAGCTGCTCCTGCGAGGTTTGGAGTGATCACAGCCTTCAGGGTCCTTCTTCATCAATAAAGATTCTCAGTTCTCCCCCATGTTCAGGCCTTTAAGGGATTAACATTTAAAAACCACAACCTAAGATTTTCTCCTGATGGATGATGCCATCCTATTGCAGATTTGCCATTTAATTGTTAAAAAAAATGTATTTGTGAAAGAAATCCATTAAGTACCCAACAACAGTAAAAACATAGATCAGCTTGGACTAAGGCTTTTAAATATTTACCTTATTTAAAGTAGCTCAACTTCTCTTCCTTCACATTCAAAAACCAGCATCCCAGCAATGCTGAGTGTAGAAAATGAGGAGAGAGATATTTACAGGAAGGCTGAAAATGCATTTCTTTTAATTTTTCTCCTTTTCAGATCTTGGCATGTGGTCTCTCAGAGCCACATACCGCAACCTTTTTACTTCTGTATTGGGTACTTAATGCAGCCTTACCAAACGCAAGAGCAGACTTCCTTGCATGGTGAACACAAGCACAATGTGGCCAGTGGACACAGCAGCTTCTCTGTAACTGCAAATAAGAAGTAGCCTGGTGCTAGCACTGCGTTTGTGCCTGTGCCCATCTCCATTGCCAGCGGGGAGCTCATGGTGCATCAGGGACTAACGTAGCAAGGTCCTCTGAGAAGGGACCCAGTCAATCTCATGTTCGTGGGATCCGAGGGCTGAAAGCATCTCTCTAAAACCCATGGACGGCTCAGCTTTGGTGCATTGCCCCGAAGAAGCACCAAGTCTGCACTAGTCCTGCTGAGGACAACAGCCTGGTTCCCTTCTGCCACAAAGGTTATGTTTTCACACCGACTCATACTGGCGTCCCGCAAGAGCGAAACCCATGCCAGATCCTTCCCCAGGAGGGAACGGCAGCATAAGGCACAAGCCATGAAGACTGAGACCCCAGGCAAAGGCTGGATTGTGCGTGGAGGGGCTTTCTCAGGAGAGACTGAGGCTACTCAGGTCAGTCAGGAGCACAGAGAGGGGATACCCAGCGCCTTGGGAAGTACGCACCACCCAGTCCTCTCCCACCGGCATAGCAGTTGGGAGACCTGCTCAGCACTCCTCTGCAAGGTGCCGGAGCACCCCAGGGACCACCATGCTGGTTGGAGCGAGGAGAGGGGCACGTCTGGGGAAAGGAGGAGCTGAAAGCAAAACCTGACCCTTCCCACCCTCACCTCCCCAGGGGATGCTACCCACCCAAATCTCCCCAGATCCAAAGGGAAACAAGGAGCACCCCTCATCCTGTTTGTCCCTGTGATCTTGACAAAACTTCACACTTACTTGCAATAATAAAGCATAAAAGGGATGCTCAGCCTTGCTGTCTGTCACAGCAAGGTAAAAATTATTTTTCCCTTTACTAGTGTTTTATAGAAATTCAATTTTGTGGCCATGCCTTCTACCCTCCTCTCAGAAACCTCTCTCTGGTCTTTGTCAGTTGGTAGTAACCAAAGTTACCGTGTGAAAAAGGTACTGTATGTTTCATTTTGAGAAAACACTGTATTTATAATTTATTTTTATTCTGAATTTGTTATGAAGAATGCTTGTCTGAGTTACATGTGAATGAGTCTGAAGTGCAATATCTATATAGATAAGTGGTTCATTTTTGAGAATGTATCTGTTAAAAAATTATTTATACAAGAAATTCACTATTCTACTTAATATAATAGTAACCTTACAGAAAATAGTGAATGTTTAGGGCTTTTATTTATTAAAAAATTTCAATTAAGTGCGTGGCATATGTTGCCATTCACGTGGTGTGATTTATTAGGTTTTGTAACATAATGTTTATCCTGCAAACTAGCAGTGTCATCTGATTTTTCCTGTCCTGATGATGTATTTTTGTAAACTACCATATTTAAGAAACAAAATCTTTCTGTGTGAATATTTTATTTCCCACTAAAAATAACTCATTAAATTGTTAACTTCATCTGGAAAAAAACTTGCGACCCTTTTCCATATCGTTTTAGAAATTACAAGGTGCAATTTTCATGTACAGTGAATCCATCATTTCATTTCTGATAATTTAGGGCTTGAAGAGCTTACTTCCAAAGCCCCTTGAAGTCAAAGGGAAGGTTGCTTGTGGGTTTTGTGTTGATTTTTCCAATCCCCATCAATTTAGGAGGGCTTTGGATCAAGTCGTATCTTGTTAACAGACATTTGAAGACTTCTTAGAGTCCAGGTTGGATAATAAAGCCTTGACTTTTTAGTCTGCCATATGGGAGCTGCTGTTGATAATACTTGCCTTATTTTTGGTTGTGTGAAGCATCTTGCAATGACTGTTGCTAACTAGCCAATGTCTTGCTGTAATATTCGTACCTCCTGATTTTCCAATAGTAAAAACTTAACCAAGCACATATAGTGTCATTATTTAGGGGAAAAGTATCCTGGAGACAAAACCATCTTTGTTGTGGAGATGGTCTTTTGTACTCTAATTTATATTTCAAATATCTACAATTAGAAACAATAAGCTGTGAATGGACAGTTTTACAATTACTTATAGGTATATGTCCTTGAAGACCACAGCTAGGAACAAAATACATTTTAGATGAATTGCTGGTATATAAAATTATGGGACCTATCACCTATTTAAATTGTGAATATTGATATTTTCATAAGTAGAAAATATATTGTGTTTGACAAACTTGTTTGTACTATAATAAATTATGAGATGGTGCATAACTTACTGCTGTGTCTGGAGCTATTGTTTGATTTATAGATTCTTATGATATATTTTGGATTTGTAGGTACTTGTGATATACTACAAATAAGACCAGTCCTTGGCAACCATTACTCAGTAAAACATAGCCTTGGATTATGGGTGTTCATTCATTTGTTGAAACAAAGATCTGAAATATAAGATGTATAAATCATTACTGGCCCAATTCTTCATTTTGAACCAAAGTCTCAGCTGTTGTAAGTTTAGCTGTTGAAGTCAATGAATCCCTGTCTCTAATACCAGGGGAAAGTTGGTCCTGAGACCATTTACACCTATGCAAAGTGGTTGTGGTGCCAGAAAATCAGGCTGATGCCCCCAGTCATTGCAAGCAATGAGACATCCAGACAGTCAGGCTCAGGCGAAACATGTAACCCCAATTCCCACCATTGATCAATGACAGAGTTAATGACATGAGTTTCCCTGCAAATAGGCTCTACTCAGTCACAGGAGCTGGGACAAACAGGACAAATGGCAGTTTGATTCAAATTTGAGAACAAAATGAGGCATTAAAAAGGAAATCCTCCCAATCCACTTCCCTGTAGATGCACAGGGTCTGCACGTTTTACAGGCTGGTCTTCTGTCTGTGCAAGTCCTCTCATTTTGCAAAGATAGAAGGGGACCAGAATTCCAACAGAATGCTTGTCTGGAGATGAACATCCAGAGCCCCTGCTCCATCAGCTGGTTCCAAGCTTTTTAGATTTCATATGTTACTATAGGGTATTTCAGTTTGTTTCAGAGATAAGGATCCCTCATGAAGCACTGCACTAACAGATCTATATATTGTTAAATATCTGAACATGATAAATATATTATACCTGTTGGCAGAAATAGAAAGTAAAAAAAAAACCACTATGGTGAGAAAATACAAAATACTAGAGATAGAAAGTGGATTCAGGACCTCAGGGACCGCATGTGAAAGAAATCCAACACTTCTTCAAATGCAAAATACTAACACTATGCAGAATTCATACCCCACTCAAATGTAAACTGTGGGATCAAGCTCCTAGCTTCTCTAGAGAAGTAATAGGACATTAAAAATTTATTAAACGTAAGCAGAGTGTGGAGTAGAAAAGGAACTGATCAGAAAAGTCCAGTGTCTTAGAGATCAAGAAAGTATAGGGTTAAATGCACAAAAGGAGACAGCCATCCACGTAATGCCAGACCCACTCCTGAGACCTCCCTGGTGCGAAAGGCTTGGGAAGAGTTTTCAAAGGACAGCATCAGAGAGAGAAGCGAGAGCGAAAGGGGCACTGCTGAAAGGGGCAGTGTCAGATTCGATGGAGCTTATCAGTTGTTCCCTATGGAGGGAGCCTGGGATCTGCCTGTCTCGGTGCTTTCATTAACAGCCGCAGCATGAGAAGTACTGATATAGTGTACAGATTATTAAAAAAAAGCATTGTACTGCTGGCGGAGGACTGAAGAAAAGGTATTTCATGTAAGAACCAGATGACCTTGAAGATTCAAGTGA